GTAAAATTATCATCAACAACACACTACTATTGTCGTCATCATCATATTGATGGTATTGATACTCTTCCGCATAAAAATTTTCATTTTGAATGATAAAACGCAAAAATCGTGACTGGTCAGACAATAATAATATTAGCAAGTATTAGTATTAGGATTAGGATTAGTATTAGTATTAAGATTAGGATTAGTATTAGGATTAGTATTAAGATTAGTATTAGTATTAGTATTAGTAGTATATATTAGTAGTCGACTAATTAGTCGTTCAAAAAAAGTTTAGTCGGCTATTTTAGTCGATTCCAACCACTATTATCGCCAGGGCCATGTTGACTATTTGACTAAAGTAAAAGCCCTTGACGTAATTAAAACCACTTGACGTAAGTAAAAACGCCTGATACAAGTAAAAATACTTGATACAAGCAGCGATAATGATAATGATAAAATAGGGTCATCAAAAGTTCCATTACGTAAAAATGTGTGCCCCGAAGATGAATAAAGAATTATCATTATTGTATGTGTATTGCGATGACGCAAGAAAAATAATTATCAAGAAAAGTTTACAAATGTTATAATTTGAATTAGAAATTTTCATTTAATTAAACTAATTATATTATTTCATGAAATGAAAAAAATCAAATTGTTTTTTCGAATTTTGTAACTACTCATAATAGTAATATTAATAATGTGTTTGAACTTTTGAGTTAGGCTGGTGCGTAGAACGACTTTTACATAGTACACGAAACAGATTAGGTTGTTCTGGCATCAACCCGGGTTATGTATCACTCCATCATGGAATGAGTTAAGATTTCTAATTTTTGTACTAAATATTTTATTATAACCCGGTTGCTCCAAATTATTTTAGTAATTTGATTATTAATCAATTAATAATTTTGATTTCTTTGTTCGCAAATTTTTATTAAAGGTGACAATATTATCTGCGGTATTATTATTATAGATTATAGTATTTTCCGTTTTTAAATACACATTCCATGGTTTCTGCGGCATTCTGCTCTATGCAGAAAATCATTGTCCTTGGTCCCATATTAATTATAATTATTATAATTGTAAGATATAATAGACCAAGTTCATCAAAAAAACACTAAAGAAATAGTTGATTTCCAAGCGTATAGACCCAAGAACCAAATGGATTAGAGAAAAAAACTCTCTAAACTGCACACCTTTTTACTTAACTTGGTACCAATCTATCCCTTTGAAAATGGAGTGGTAAAAAACTTCTGCCGATCACAATAATAATAGCCAATAAATATATGACATATTTTGCGAAGCCAATAAAATAATTGTTTTTCTTATTGTGTCCATATTTAGATAAAAAAATTGAATTTTATTTGTTTCACAATAGAAAACTTACGTACTATATAACGTTCACATATTCCTTGAATAACAAAACACAAATTTATTCAAAATGGAATTTTTAAATGATGTTTTTATGAGAATGATGACGGACAGAGATTTTTCACTAAGAAAAAGTAGAGAAGATGTGGCTGCAGAATTCGAAGAATATTTAAAGAAGTTGGAAAGTCAATTCACTGCTTATCCCACTGATCATTATCACACTTTTACAACGCTCGCATCCAATAACCAAAATTACAGAGAAACAAGTCATAATGTTAATCTTCACTTAGCAAATAGAATTTCCATAGCAAATTTAGAACTTGATAAAGTGCATACCAACAAATTCTTATTATGTCGGGTAATAACCAGGTGTTGTAAAATGGCTTCTCTTATGACCATTGTCGAAGATCCTGAAGGTGATGCTGTAAAGATAGCTTTGTATAACTGGGTCAAACAATCAGACATTCCTCTAAAATATCGGAACAAATTGTTCCCTGTTGATAAAGTATCAATGCTACTACCTATAGGCACTAAAATTGCTATTAAAAATCCATATTATAAAATTGCTACTGATGGTACCCCCATGATTCGTTCAGATAACCCTGGTGAAATTATTATCATTGATCAGAATAAAAAATTATTTAATGGAGTGAAATGGTCCACAGATCGGCACGAAGATGTAACTACTAATACTAATAATAATAAGAAACTTCTTTCTGCTGATGACTTCCGTTGTAGCGGAAATGACTATTTTAAATCAGGAAATTTTGCGTCTGCTATTGGCGAATATTCAAATGGCATCAGTCTGGAGCCAAGTGATGTCACACTGCTTTGTAACCGTGCCGAGGCATATTTGAAATTGAATAAATATGCGAAAGCACTTGCTGATGTAGAAGTTGCTCTTAACTATCAGAAAGATAATAAAAAAGCAATTTTCCGTAAAGCTAGAGCTCTTTTTGGCCTTAAACGTTATCAAGAGGCTGTGATTATACTTCAAGATTTGCTTCAAAAAAGTCAAGATAATACTGATGATGATACTACTTCTACTAAGAAGAGTGTTGAGCAATTATTAAAGCGCGCAGAAATGTTTGACTCTGAAAATCGAAATGGGCAATATGATTACATTCGTATCGTTGATGAGTTTTGTGAAAGGGTGAAAGTTAGTGAGAGTAATGAAGATTCTACGGATTGGGTTTATGAAGGAGGTCCAAGATTAGATCATGCTGATTTCTTAACTGACAATATTGAGATTCGTAGTGTTAACAATAAGGGAAGGGGCTGGTTTGCTAAATGTAAGATTCCTGAAGGCACACTTTTGATGGCTTCAAAAGCATTTGGAGTGGTGTATGTTAATGAAGCTCCCCCTTCTTTGAACCTCGATTTTTCAAACAAGATTATGAAGGAAGCAACTGAAATACAATTAATAACTAATATTGCTCAAAAGCTCAATACAGAACCAGATTTTTGTAAAGAAGTGTATAAGTTGTATGCTGGACCAGGTTTAGTTCCTGGGAAGAAGCTTAGTAAAGGTGCATCACATTCAGTAGATATAAACAGAATAGAAAAGATTCTCCAATATAATTCTTTTGGTTTGAGGGATCATTGGCATGTTTTTGATAATATTGGAAAAAAAAGCGATTTTAAGTCAAGAGTTGGAACAGGCCTGTGGATTTTGCCATCTTATTTCAATCACACATGCGTAGATATAAATGTTGATTGGTTTGTTATTGGTGATTTGATGTTTTTAAGATCTTGTCAACCCATTTTAAAAGGAGAGGAGTTAGTTTTGAGTTATTGTAATCCTATGAGTTCATATGAAGAGAGATCTAGTTATCTTAAATTTTATGATATAAATTGTGAATGTCGACTTTGCAAGTTGGAAAGAACAGAAGATTATTTGAAAAAACAACAACGAGATAATATCCTTGAAAACTATGAAAAATCTGTAAGAGATCGGGTAGTCAGATTTCTCGAAGGCATTTCTTTTGATATTTCTCTCGTTAAGGACTTAAAGAACATAATTGATAAATTAGATAACTTAAGAAAAGAACACACAGAGCTAGATTTTTATTCAGTTGGGCCTAAATCTGCTTTGGCAATGGTTTATTCTAAACATGGAGATCTGAATCAACCTATTCCTATTTTCCAACAGATATATGCACTTTCAAAAACTGCCCATCTTCCAATTATAAGAAGCGAACCTGCTTTTCAAATTTCATTCCGTTACCATGAACTTGGGGAGATTAAAGAAGCTAAAAAATGGTTCATTATTGCGTTGAAAGAACTAGTGGAGCCTTTAAGAGGCAAAATTGCAGATAACGAAGTTGGTTGGGAAAAAGAGGCTTTGCATCTAACAGAAAAGTTGTTGCCAGATATGTTTTTTGGAGTAAAGAACTGTGGGTTTAATTGATGAATTTTTGGCTATTCACACATATACAGTGTGTAACAAAAAAAAAAAGGAAAATTTATTTATTTGTTTTTCAATATTGGTTGAATAAAAACGGACAAAAAACATATCAAAAAAAAACTGAAAATCAGAGGTTTCTATTAATATAAACTTGATATGAAAAAATTTTTTAATTGCTTTCAATATTAAGCGACAAAGTTAATTTTTGATCCATTAAAAATCCAATTTACAAAAATCTGTGAACTCATTTTTCACTAATTTGCCAAAAATCATTCCAATTTTCAGGATTTTTTTAGCATTTATTACTTTATGTCTCACTTAATAAGTTCACCAAAAATTTTGATGTTTCAATACATAAACATTGTTGAATAATCATCATATAACTAACAGAAGGTTTTTAAGTTTAAGCTCTTGTGGGTAAATTTTGAACTTAAAATAATAAACTTTCAGACATCCTATTTAAATCAAAATAGCTTCTTAATCTTCGTAACAACTTCAGGAATGATCTTTATATAGAAAGGTGCGGTAATTTGCTACTGGAAAGAACAAAAAAATATTCTTTTCCTAAATTTCACCAATTTTTTTTGTTACATGCTGTATATACACTATTGTAGCAAACATGTAATTTTTGATATCATATATATTATTAGCAAATAAGTTTAAGCATTTAAATTGAATTTAATTTAAACTAATAAATAAATACATTAGGGAACTTTTGCTTATAGAATTCATATACTTTTATTATTCTTTACTGAAAATCATTACTTTCTTTCATTAAAATAATAGTTTTTTTTTTGTGAAAAACTAAAAACCAAAATTTTTTAAGTTTTTAATGTTTTGTAATGAAAGCTTGATTGATTAAAATTTAATCATGCTTGTAATTTTGTTATCAAAAAAAAAAAAAAAGATAAGCACAAATCCGCTACATTGTAACCTGGTGCATTACAAAGACTGATGATTTTCAGTTAAAGCTGAAATTTTAGCTTGAAACTTTTTGGGTTTGTTCATAAAGACAATGATGCGTCGCACTTATTGACAATGATTGGTTTAGAAGGCACCGACCGATTTGTTTAATTATTTCTTCATAGTAAAAACAGAAGAATAAAAAATATATAGATATTTAAGAAAATTGTTAAAATTTTGCAAGAACCATTGATTCAGTTAATTAGGACAGCTCTTGTCATTTTCTACTCTTTATCCAATACCTTTGATTGTTTTAGAAAATCCATGATTACTTTTTTTTTGGAAAACAGATTTTAAAAACATCTTTTATTGCACAATAAATAGAACAAGATAGGCAAAACAAGTTCTGTGGTTTTGCAATGTTGGAAAGGTTGAAAGAAACCCTGCTCAATAAAACTTGAGAATATAATAATTTGTTTCAAATATTTCTTCTAATGCTTAAAATGGACAAAGACTGGCACTAAACCATTTGGAATAACATTTTAATTATTAGTCATTTGATATTCAGATGACTGAATTGAATTAAGGAATATCCTATATACAGTAAGGTTCTTTTTTGAAATATACAGTACCCTACCAAAAATGGAAATTTATTCTATAAAAAAGGAAATGGCTCAAATTTTTGTAACATCCTCGTGACAGTTATTTGTATGTGACGATTAAACTTGTGAGGCTTGGGGTGGTAGGAGTTATGAAATGCTTACCAACTCCAAAAATAAATTCTTATTTGTCACATAGGTCCTGTATATTTCATAAAAAGAACCTTTCTGTATATAGGATGACCCTTGAATTAAATCGAGACAACTTTAAAAATCTAAACAAATTAAATTAAAAAAAAATCACACCAAGAATAAAACAATATATGTTGACGAGCAACAACAAAGTAAGATTAAAAAATGTCGAACGTGCAAGCTTTCTGTTGTCGTTAAGATGTGAATTTTTGTAAGTAATACAAAAAGGTCAAAGATGCGAGTTTCCTTTTGACATTAAAAAGTCAAAGGCGCGAGCGAATTTTTTATTGTTGTTCAAAATGTTCAAGGGTGTAAAATTTCTACCTTTTCATTCTGAATCCTAAGCGTTGTTCACAGAAATAACAATAAATTTATCCAAACGCCCATCCAAAAATTCAAAATAATAATATTATTATTAATTGATGAAGCCATCATAGCAACAATGCTTAAAAGTTAAGTGGCCTATTACTATTTTTAAGCAGAAATTGTATCGTAAGAATAACGAATCTAACAATTTTATTTTCAATGAATAGGAAATTATCATTACAATTAGTTATGAAATTTTCAAAGGTTATAATGACAAGACAATAATAATTAATAAAAATCCATTTTAGTTAGATTCAAGGCTGTGCTGCGTAACTAAAAAAAATCTTCCACTTCTATATAGGCGGGTTTGACGGAATTAAAGTATTAAACAAGATCTATGGAGCTTGCAAAGCAATTTGTAAAATATACTTGATGAATGCTTATAAATTATTCAATAGTTATATAGGCGGGTTTGATGGAATTAAAATATTAAAGACAAAATTTATGAAGCTTACAAAGCAATATACTGAAATGTGGATTTATGTATATGTATGTATGTATATAGAAGGGAGACATTGCTCAAGTAATAATAATCACAAATAAACAAAATTTTCTTTTCTTTAACTTATATATATTACACATTAATAACATCTCCATCGGATCCTGCTAACCTTACAAGAAGTTTAGATGCTTATTTACTAATTTTTTACAAACCATACTTAAATCAAAAAATATGATTCACTAATCATTTGCAAAGTATGTATGAATATGTTTATTATTAAAACATTCTTATTTTTTACAGTAATAGGAATGTAGATATCCTAATTGTACACTTAAAATATACCTCTGAATCTTAATAATTCTTAAAACATATTTATTTTCTTGATTTTTGTAATTACTTTATATATCCTTAAAACATGTTTGAATTTGAAATTCAAATAATAAAATTATTCTTTTTGCACCCAAAGAATTGACCAATCTAACTTCACTTCTGACTGATAAATGAATATAGATGACTAGATAACCAATGTTGATTAATTACACAATGAGGGTATTAGCATCAAACAGGGTGATGAAGACCAGGGCGCAAAATCCTATTATTCTGATAAAATTTTTAGAATGTCCAATAAAAATTTTGGGAATGGCCATTTTCCAGTTGCACATTAATTAAACATATAATAAATTTCTAGCTAATAATTTTGATACATGTAACCTTCCATATTTATCAAATTTTCAATAAAAAGGGTTAATACGTTTATCATTTGCCTCATATATCAAAATTTGTGTAATTTTTTAATAAAGTATCAACATCTTGGTAATTAATTTCGACGATGCTAAATATCATAAGATAATTATCAAAAATTATCTTATTTTGTTAATTTCGATTTTTTTATTGAGATAAATATCAATAAATGATGTATCTCGATATTTATCCCCTAAAAAAATTTCCTGATGAATTTAATGCAATTTTTAGTCAAGAAATCCTTATCTTCTTCTAATAAGCAATTAATTATTATTTTAATGCTGTTAGGAGAATTACATGGATTTCTCCACTAAGTTGGAACATTAATGTTGTGCCATTGTTTATTGGCAAGGATGCAAGAATTTCACTTAAAAGTTCAAGTGGCAAAGTTATCATTAATATTTATTTTTTTTTGTAAAAAAAAATTTTAATTTTGCTTATTTGCAAAATAAAATGAAAATTTGTTTATTTATTTCAAATATATAATAATATCCTAATAATTTAATTTAAAAATCCTAAATCTTGATATTTTTTTAATATTTTCTTTGATGCATCACCTTCACCTTCATTACCATAACTATGAAATTTCATTGTTAAAGGTTTGGGTCCCCTCCAATTCTTCATTAAAATATTTAATGAATAGTCATTAAGATTAGAAACCATGTGAGCAGAAGTTATTGATCCTAAATTTTTTGGTAGTGTTTTATTTAATACTGCTAATATTCTATCACCATCCAATTCATGCAACCAAGTATGATTAAATCTAAAACTTTTTAATTTTGTACAGCTATTGAGTACTTCTATTAATTCCTGATCTAACTCATCTTCATAAATTGTTGATAAGTTTTCTAAAATTTTACAAGATTGTGCAATTGATTGAAGTAGTTTTCTCACAAATTTGCTATCTCCAGGATCATGATATTTATTATTTTTAACATCCAGATTTTTAAGAGTTTTACCATTGATATTAATAAAACCAGTCAAGTCTGATAGGATTGGTTGATATGTAATAGATACCCTCACAGTTTCAATATTTGGCAATGAAATAGTTTTTAAATTATTTAGTTTGTGATCAGCAGTTAATGCTAAAGTTTTTAAAATTTTAAATGTTGGTATTAATAAATTGTCCAAATTATTTCCTCCATCATAAGATTCATAAGAAGTTATTGATTGTGAATGTGTTAATATTGCTTCTTTTAATTCATTTAGTAAAATTTGTTCATTTTTTGTATCAAAAGCTAAAACTAAATATTTAATTTTTTTTGTGTTTTAATCAGGGTTGGCAAATTGACTGGTCCATTGAGAACAGATGGATTTTGGACTGGTCCATTGCCATTAATAGAATACTAAATATGGTCAAAATGTTACACTAATGGACCAATGGACCACCAATAGACCATCAATGGACAGCACATTTTCCAACCCTGGTTTTAGCTGTGCCAATTTATATATATTTTCATCATCATTACCATAATATATTTTTAATGATTGAATATTTTTGCAGACATTTGTTAATTTATCTAAAATGTTGCTACTATCGGAATTATAACATTCTAATTCAAAAAGATTCTGAAAATCATTACTTTCTTCTATGATGATTGATTAACAAATTACAACCAATGAATGTGATGGCACTAAGTACTCTAATACTTGCTGAATGATTGAAAATAAATTTTATTAATTTATTTTGTAAAATTTTTAATGCACCAATTTTTATCAGGCATTTAAAATCACAATACTCGAAAAGTCTAGGCGGAAAACTTCTTATTTCAACGCCACTAATTAAATAAAAAACAGTTCATAAATAATTAACTAGAGTGACAGTGAATGGCGGGCAATAACCACCACCATCCTTAAAAACACTTACCCTCTTTCAAATTCTTCTGCTTGGGCTTTTCTTCTTTTTGTTTGTCATGGAGTGACAACGAGTGGCGGATGATAACCACCACCACCATCCTTAAAACACTTATCTAGCAACAGCCTCATTAGCATTGGTTTGTTTTCTTCTTTTGTTGTTTTTAATTGAGTGCATGTTTAATTAAATAAATGAAGTTTGTTATTTGATCGACGGTACACATTGATTATTTATCCTATTGGTTTTTATGTTACATTTTATAGCATGGTGGACATTCTTTGTTGTTACATAAATGTTACACCGACTATTTATATTTTTTAAAGTACTAAAACCAG